ATGCCCAGGCCTTCTCTCTTTTTCTTCTCTTTTAAATATATTGCCTCTGGCAGCATCACCCCCCAACGCTACTCCCTACGCTCTCATACTAGCACTTCTTAATATATCAAATCAAATACCTCTCTTCCTCCCCAAGCGTTCTAGTTCTCTTGAAGCCAGTTCTTGAGCCAGTAGTAGTGGAAGAACTGGCTTTAAAAACCCTCACTAGATTCTGCCATCTCATGTCTCTGTCCACATTTTGAGAAAGCTGTCTACTCTCAGTGCTTCGACTTTCATCATTAAATTGTAATTCAACTTTCCAAAGTTACCAATGATCTAATGACCATTTTTCAATCCTCATCATACTTGATTTATCTGTAGCATTTGACACTACTGATCACCTTCTTCTCTAGGTTTTCTCAACACTGCTCTCTGCTGGTTCTCTCCAAATGTCACACTACTTCTTGGCATCCTTTGCTGGATCATCATAACCACTAACTGAGTGTCCTGAAAGACTCTTTCCAGGGCCCTTTTTTCCCCCTCTTTATTTTATGCATTTAAAAACATGACATGTGTGCATTGGCTTCAACACACTTCCGAAGGGGTTGGGGTCCAGGACACAAAAAAGATTGAGAACCTTAGTTCTTGAGACACTGAGTTAACACTGAGAACTCTCAAGCAGCCCGCAGCCTGACAAGTTATTTGTGATGACCCTTTTGCTTTGTGATCTGAGTTTAGGCTAGAAAGTCACAGCCCTCTTATCTTGTGTCTTCCCAACTCATGGGCTCAGAGACTCTGGCAGTTCTGTCAAAGTGAAGAAGCTCATAAGAACATTAGTGTCTAATGGGCACCAGTTTTCTGGAGCTGTTTACCTCATGAAATGTGTGTTTGTTGCTTGCTTTTAGCCAGGTGAAACATCTGCAATTCATTTTCTTCTTGATTCATGTTCAAGCCCCCAGACAAGGTTAAAGCTGACATCTTCCAAGAAGTGTCTCTTCCTTGTGATGCAAGTGGAAAAGGCAATAATAAGACATGTTTTTATTCTTGTCTCTAGAAACTGACTCCAAGGAGGTCATTTTCCCAGAACCTGAAATGTATTATGACTGGAGGTCTTGCCATTCATGGCTTTTAGGAAACTGGAAACTAAGACAATCTTATTCATCCTCGCAAGCTGTTCTCTCTTTCCCACAATGTACCCTTGAAAAATATTTAACTATAGAATCTTCTAGTACCTTCCTCTGAAATGTAACAAATCAATATTGAAGTGATTAGTATTTCACTTTATTGCTTTTTTAAAAAGACTTCTCAATATAGAAATAGCTTACAAAATCTTTGCATAAGACAGCCTATGCCAAAGTAGGCAGTTCTGTTTACTGCATGTATGAATAACTGTACTCCAAGGGACCTGAATCTGCCTCTTGGCTTGCTAAGTTTTAGGCAGTGGTGTCTATAAGGAAAGAGAAACAAATTTGCCAATAAAGCAGCTAAGGATAAGGTAGCTAGAAGCCAAGTCCCTTCCTCAGAAGTGATAAATAAAGAAATGAAACTATGAATATTTACATGGCATTCAGATTTTATCAATTCAGTATGGCATTCAACAGAAACAGAAATATTTTTCTTTCTCTTTTTTTAAAGAAAAGATTATGCTACATATAAGAAGTAAAACATTTCCTTTTTAAGGTAACATGGGGAAATCCTAGTGGTGTGATTGGAAATAATCTAAAATTATTTGACTTTTGATCTGGATCATGTCATATGAGTGACCCATCAGGAAATTTCCTGAACAGAGTTAAAATTTTTAGGTCTCAAGTTCTGTGTTGACAGAAGTAGGTTTAACAGACAAAATCTCGAGTATCTTTATATCTATAGGTACAATAAGAATCTACCTGAAGTTGAGAACCTCAGGGCCTATTATGGCTATGTGGGCTATGAAAATAACAGCCCCTTGTACCTTTTTACACACACATAGGTTTTTACATTTACATGTTCACATAGGTTCTCTATATTATCTAATTTTATTCTAATGCCCCCTTTTACAGATGAGAGGACCAAGAGTAAATGGTTTCCTCAAACTCACATAATGAATTTTTTGTAGACTGAAGTCTAGGAACCAGGATTCCTGACTTCCAGCTTTTGTTTTCTTTTCATTATATCATACTACCATCACAGATGGGAATAAGTAGCTAGAGGCAACATTGGCTAAGAAATAGTGAGTGTATTTCTTTTCTTAAAAAAACAAAACAGTATGAATTTATATAAGTTTATATCAAGCATCACTTTCAAGACTATTTACAATAAAAAGTATACAGTGGGTGATAATATATGCTGTTTTCTCTAAAACCCTTTTTGATCATTGGCTAAACATCCACCTAAAGATAACAGTATTGTTTAATATTGGGGCAGCAAGATGGCATGGTGTATAGAGCACTGGAGCGCCAGCCCTGGAGTCAAGAGAACCTGAGTTCAAATCTGACCCCAGACACTTACCAGCTTTGTGACCCTGAGCTGTTTCCCTCAGCTCCTCATTTATAAAATGAGCTGGAGAAAGAAATGGCAAATCATTCCGGTATCTTTGCTAAGAAAACCCCAACTGAACAAAAGATTGAACTGGAGTGACTAAATTAAAATTTTAATATCATCGTAGTCTATGTGTACATTTGTCCTTCTAGTTCTATATTTGCTGATTTTGTATTTCCACATTTCTTTTTATCTCTCATTTGCCATTCTTGTTATACGGTAGCTTTGCATGCATGCTACAGCTTGTTCACCTAATAATATAGCTACAATTGTGTTTGTGTAGAGAGCAGTTTGGTGGGTACAGTCAGTAAAGAACTGGGCCTGGAGTCAGGAAGACATGAGTTCAAATCCAGCCTCAGACACTTACTAGCTTTGTGATCCTGGCCAAGTCATTTAACCTCTGCCTGCCTCAGTTTCCTCAATTATAAAATGGGGGTAGCACCCACTTCACAGGTTTTTTGTGAGAATCAAATAAGATAATATTTGTAAGATCTCTTAGCACAGTGCCTGGCACATAGTAGGTACTATATAAATGCTTATTCCTGTTGCCTTTTCCTTTCCATTTCTTTCAAATTACTTGGGAGCATATTTCTGATAATGGCATCATGGGGTCAAAAGGTATGATCAGTTTTATGATGTTTCTTGTGTATTGCTAGTTTGTTTTTCAGAATATATATATATAATATATATATATATATATATATATATATTTATATATATATATATATATATATATATATTTTTTTTACCAATTTGCATTGTGGAAATTTCTTAAAATTTTTATTATCTTTTTTCTATTGCCTAAAATTTCTCCTGTATCCCTCCCATTCTTCCCTCTCAGAGAGGCATTCTTTACATTGATTTTTTTCAAAAGAAAAAACAATCAGCAAAACTAACTATACATCAAATAATAGGAAAATATATACCATATTTCACACCTTTCAACCTCCCACATCTGTAAAGTAATGGGAGAAGGGGGGGAATGTTTCTTCTCTCATCTCTTTCTAGCCATGCTTGTTTCCTATAATTTTGCTACATTTATTTAGGAATGTTTTGTGGTTATCGCTCTTTTCATTTTTATTATCAAAGTTGTATATATTGTTTTCTTGGCTCTGACTTCATGTCATTTCATGTAAGTCTTTCCATGTGTCTCTGTTTTCATCATATTCGTTGCTTCTGACAGCACAGTAATATTCCATTATACATTCATGTGTCACAGATTGTTTAGCCATTCGCCAGTCAGTCAGCATCTACTTTGTTTCTTGTTCTTTGTTACCACAAATAGTACTCCTATGAATATCTTGCATGTGGAGGCTTTCTTTTTAATCAGTGACCTCCTTATGGCATATGCCTAGTGGAATCTTTGAGTCAAAGGATATGGATATTTTAGTCACTTTATTAGCATAATTTAAAATTACTTCCCAAAATTATTATACTGATCCACAGTTCCACCAACAATGCTTTAGAGTGCCTATCTTTCCATAGTCATTCCAAAATTGACTGGTCCCATCTTTTGTCACCTTTGGCAATTTGAAGGGTGTGTGGTAAAACTTAAGGGTTATTTTGACATTCATTTCTCTTATTATCAGTGACTCAGAGCATTCTTTCATATAGTTTTTAATAGTTTGCCATTCTTTTGAGAACTTTTTCTTCATATTTTTTAATAACTTGTCTGCGAGGGAATGAGTTTTAGTCTTAGTTCTTCTAGATGTTTCTACATCTTGGATAATAAGCCCCGATTAAAAAAATATTTAATACAGAGATCGTTTTCCCAGTCAACCACTTCCCTCCTTATCCTGGATGTACTAATTTTGTTTATGCAAAAAAAATTTCAATATGACATAGTCAAAATTATCTATTTTATCTTTTACAATTGACTCTGTTCCTTGTTTGGTAAAGAATGTGTCTCCTACCTGTAGCTGTGAAAGGTAGATAATCTGCTCTTCAGAATTTTTTATGGCATGTTTTTTAATATTCAAGTATCTTTTAAAAATGTATTGTGAAATATGTTGTAAGGTGTTGGTTTAAGCTAATTTCTGCCAGATTACTTTCTGGTTTTCCTTGTAGTTCTTGTCAAATATGGTATTCTTCATGTTTGGGGGTTTATCAGACTGTGTTATTGAATTCTGTTATTTCTGATTTTCCCTTATCTAGTCTGTTCCATTCATTTACTCTATTTTTTAACCAATACAAAATGGTTTTTATGACTACTACTTATAATATAGTTTGAGGACTGAAAGTATAACAACTGTATTTCAGTTGTACTGGGAGAATTTTTAAAAAAATCTTTACCAAACTGAAACTGAAAAATAGTTAATTCAGGAATAGGTGGAACAGTATGAGAAAACCAAAGACATAATCATTTGGAATGTCATCATGCATGTTGTTTGAGTGTATCGATAAAAAAAATCTTCATTTGTACTCCCAGGATTTAAAGCTGCTCATTGTAACATTTTCTCATCCTTATAATCGCCATGTAAATGAAATTCTGTTTTTGTCCCTAGGTAATCTCCTTTTTATTCATTGGCCTGATGTCTATGATGATTCCACTGTGTAGTGTCTTTGGAGCACTCATAGCCGTCTGCCTCCTTATGGGTCTCTTTGATGGATGCTTCATTTCCATCATGGCTCCTATTGCCTTTGAGTTAGTTGGTGCCCAGGATGTCTCCCAAGCCATAGGATTTCTGCTTGGATTCATGTCTATACCTATGACTGTGGGCCCACCCGTTGCAGGTAAATGTAGCATGGTATTTAGTTATCTTTAGATAATTATTTCCTACTTTTGCTTCCTTTGAAATGGCCCATTTATATTCAAACTTATCACCATTAACTGATCAGCTAGCATCAATATTTTGCCTTTATATTTGCCATTGTCTTCACACTCTTAGTAACACTAGAAGAAGAGACAGATAAGTTTTAGTTTTGCACATAATTGCCAGACATATTCTAAAGAGAGAGGAGAGGGGAGGTTCTTAAGGATTCAGAGGAAGCTGAGCCACATTAAGCTTTTGAGGCCCTTAGCCATAATAGGTCATTATATTACATGAAATGCATCAAAACAAGTGAAAACAAAATAAGACATCAAAAAAGTGTTATGTAATTGGAATAGTTTTGATTTCACAAATATTTTTCTAGTCCTTTTCTGTGTAAATGCATTAGTTGTTGGTGAAAATCTAGATTTTGTATAATGAAGTCCACAAGCATTTATTAAGCACTTACTATGTACCAAGCATGTGCTAAGCACTGGGGATAAAAAGAAAATAAAAAACAAAACCTGCCCTCTAGAAGCTCATAGTCTAATGAGAGGGGGCAATCTCTAGATATATAACCTAAGTATAAATACTACATATGTTTGTATATATATGTATATATGTGTGTATGTATATAGATGTGTATATATTATGTATGTAGATGCATATATACATGCATAGTGTGTGATATTAAATATAATAAAATCATTTTTAAAAAAACCCCTCATGTCCTACAGTAACTGGTTTTTAAATTTTGGTCCAGGCCTTGATTTCATCAGTGTAGCGAAGTCTTAAATGTGGAAACTCCCTCTCTCGATGCAAATCAGCATCTGCTCTGTAATTTATAGGTGTATATGGTCTAGGACACTGAGAAATTAAGTGATTTGCCCTTAGTCAAATAACCAAGATTATTAACCAAGGACAGGACTTGAACCAGGGTTTGTTCTTGAATTAAAGACCCTATCTAGTGGGCCATGCTGCGCTCTCGGTAATTTTTTACCTGCCACATTTTAGGAGCCCTTTGAGCTTTAGGGCCAGATCAAAAGGCCTTCCACAGTAATTAATCCTATGGGAGAGACCTTGGTTATTGCTTTATTCTTGAAAGAGGAGTATTTTGAAAAGTCAAAGTTATACTTTATTTAAAAAAAAATAAAAGGACTACCTCATTGAGAAAGACATGTTTTGTGTGCTTGAAAAATATAATTTAGCTCACTGTGTTATAGTTTTGTACATTGAAGGTTTTGGTCTATTTTGAAAAGTGCTTTTGAGTTTCCATGTGATGCTACTTCAAGGATGTGGTAGAATAATAAGAGGTTTAACAATAGATGGTGAAACTCAATTAACCAAACACAGCTAAAGACCAGGAAAAAAGAGGCCTCTCATCCGTCAAAGTCTTTTTCACAAAGTACAGGCCCTAAAGTTTATGTACTTTACTCATAGGAGAGCCTTTCATGGTCTTGCTCAAATACTGTTTAATCCTATTTTAATCACAAATTTTAAGACCACAGAAGATTACAAGAAGCAAATTAGAAGATAGGACAAGTAATGCAACAGGACAGATACTCTAAAAGAAAATAATGAGGAATAAGGGGGGGGAGAGAATTTGAAAATAAAAAATATATAACTGAAAAATAAAAATTAAGAAAAAGAGAAAAAGAAAACCTATAAAATGTAGAAACAAGAACTCAGGAAGGACCTATGCTCTGGGCACATGGAGGGTAGATATACCTGAATAGGCCCTATAGGGGCCTATCATGTATTGAAGCACAGCACAGTAACAGGAAAAGAATAGGGCCTACAAACTGTAGACTAGGAAGCATGACTTTAATACTTGGCAAAAGTCTAAGACATATTATTAAAGGGATATTTTAGAAAGATATGGGAAAGGAAAGAGAGATGAAAAAGAGCCAGCATGCCTTAACAGACAACCCTCTTTCACATGACAACACTTCAAATACTTGATGAGTCATACTCATGCCAGATTAATCTTATTTCCTTTTTTGACTGAGTTGTTGAGCTGAGAAGGGGATTAGTGGAGATAGGTTATCCAGGAGGGAATGTCATTATTCTGGGGGGATATAGGTAGGTCACAGAGCCAACCTTTTGCATGTTTTGAAAACTTAAGATTATGCCTTCAAATCTACTGAAGTTTCTTTTTTTCCCCTTCCTTCTAATGATTCCTTCAACTCCTTATTTCTATTTTTTATTTATTTCTATTTTATTTTTTAATTCCTTATAATTGCATTTACCAGGATATTTAGAATCAAGAGACTACACAATAAAAGAGTCTCCCTTTCCTTGAAAAATGGGATTATAAGGTATAATGGACTGAAGAAAGGCATTAATATTTCTTGGATGTTTTTTTTTTAAAAAGTCACCATAAGGAAATGACACCTTATATGACATACAAAATAAAGCTGGCATGCTCTTGATCTGGAGGACAGGGGTTTCTTATGATATTTTACTACCATGGCAGTATCTGCTACAGGCACTTTTACATAGTGATAGGGCCTGATATATACAGCCAGTTCCTGAAAAGCCATCTTTCTTTCACATCAGGCTTTTATGACAGAAAGATAGCAGAGTTTTTTCCCCTTCTCTATCATATTAATTGAGGCTTTACAGTTCACACCCTCTTCTCAAAAAAAAAAAAGTATTGTATTTGATTGAAAGCCTCTTGAGGCCAAGAACGAATAAGGGAAAATAGAGAATATCCCCAAGACACCAAGATTTGAATCCTTCCTAAAAGCTACAGTGAATTATGTAAAGTAAGATGGCTGTACTAGATGAGTCTTCCGTCCCTCTCAATTCAGATTCAGGGATCTGTCTCTTGATGACAACTTCTGTTCTTCCTAGGTTTACTCCGGGACCATCTAGGTTCTTATGATGTGGCCTTCTACCTTGCTGGGGTCCCACCTCTACTGGGAGGAGCTGTGCTTTGTTCAGTCCCATGGATCCATGAAAAATGGAAACAAAAAGAAATGAGCATCATCGGAGGGGAGAAGCTGGAGAAAATGTTGGAGAATCAGACCACTCTGCTCCCGAGCTCATCTGGAATCATTAAGAAAGACTCTGATCCTGGTTTTTAATGCTCCAGGCTTCTGCCAGACTGGACTTGCTTTCCAAAGTTACAGCAAGTTTTCTTTTTTTATGAATTGGAAGTTTTTTTTTAAAATAGCATTATGGAAATAGCATTAGAATGGTAAAAGAAGATCATTACCAGGCAAGAACCCTTTCTTATCATTCAAGAGCTTTCTGATGTTTCTGAGACCAAAGGCAGGGACTTTGGGACTAGAAAAAAAATGACTTGAAATCAAATCACACTTGTCTATGAGAGAAACATTTAGGCATCTCACAGGAAAAACAAAATCTGGAAACTGAGAAAGCTAAATAGTGTGTGTAAAGAATATACAATACCTCAAGCTACACTGGAAGGGTTGCAGTCTGATTAGGACTGGAAATACTATCATACTGATTAGTTCTGGTATCTCTGTTTTGACTTCTTTTACTATGTTAAATAATTAAAAAAGCATAGATATTACTTCTCCAGAAGATCGACACTTAAATTCTATGCTTTGCTGCTGATAAATTATGAAATGTGTTCACATAATATCCTGAACTTGTTCCAGTGTGAATTCCTGTTTTTGAGCCAAATGAGGCCTTTTCTGGGGCAGGAGCTGAAATGTATGCACATTCAATATGTGAGACACAAATGTCTCCAATGTTCCTAGGAGCAGTGGTACAGAATTCAGCCATTTCTTCCATTTTATCTTCCCTATTATGGGCTTACAGTGTGTTTTAACACTTGAATAGCCTGTAATTTGCAGGGTCTAAACAAACAAACCAACCCCAACCCAAATTAATTAAAGACTTTGAATCCCAACCCTAAAGTACACTAGAATGAATTAGAGAGAACTTGATAATTTGTATTTTAAATTCTTTTGCTCGTCTGGGTCTGTTAGATCCAAAAAGCTGACTCTTTTTTAGATGCATGTTAGGCATGCACCAAGCTGCAGTTATACGCACAAATAGACAAAATCTAGTATTCATGTAGACAGTCTCCGTTTCTAATAGAAATAGTTGCTTAAATTCTCCTCCAGGAATGTAAAAGGTCTGCTGTGACTCCAAATTATTTGTGAAACAATCTTACATACCCATAACTGTCTGGAAAAATATATTCATAATTATTTGTCTGTCTTGGTTCCCTTTCTATTAACATTCCTTCTACTTCTGTCCTAAAAGTAAAATCCTAACCAATTCATCCTTTATTCACATTAAAAACAAAAACAAAAAAGCTTTCTCTTTGACTTCATTCAGGATCAGTCTATATTTTTGTTTTTGTTCAAGTCATTGCAAATTAATATTCAAGATGTACTTAAATCCTAACTCTGTATGCAAGTAATTTGGGACACACGTTAAGATCTTCCTTAGAGATAGCTTTTGCACACCTGGGGAGATTGCCTGTATTTGCCAGATGCCTTTCTTCCTTTCCCAAGTACTATTTGGCTCTTTCTTTTTCTAAATACTTCTCCAATTATTTGCCTGTCCTGGGGGAGAGGGAGAGGTTAGGAAGGGGAAAGTAAGATGGGGTGAAGGGAGCAAGAAGAGTGAAAATGGATCCAGTTCTCCTCCTTTCTCACCTTAGGTACTAAAAAAGTAGTCTGGTAGTAGAAAAATATGGCTTGAAATCAAATCAAACTTGTCTGTGAGAGAAGGTATATTACTTCCACACCTTGCTTCTGGCTAGCAGAACTACCTGAAAGAATGAGAAATTGTATGGGTGATTTGTTACCTTTTGGGGGAGGGAGGTGCGGTTGTAAGCTGAAGTTTTGTGGAAAATCCAGTAGCTTTCTTCTATTTTTTTGGCAGTAGTTTGCTTGCTGTCTAGCAACTTAAAAATTCAAAGTGCACCTATTAAATATGATATCTAGTTTTATTAGGATTTTAAATAATTTATAGCATAATGACATTCTCTTAGTTAAGTTGAAACTTTCATTCCTATTATATAATTATTCAGTTACCTATATAATTTGTCTGTGCAAAATTCTGTTAAACATTCTTGGTTTATTTCTCTTTTTTCTCTAGGTCTTTATATTTCAGTTAAAAACAACCAAACATATACGCTTTGATAATACCGCCTTCTAATACTTATAGGTAGAGGTGTTTTATAATTATGAGTAATTGCATATAAATTAACAATCTTCTTATTCATGTCCTGTTAGGTATTTTTGAGAATGTGAAGCGGTACTTTCTTATTAAAAATGTTTTTGAGAGGTGTACAGAAACATGATCAAGACCAACCATAAAGGTTGCCAATATAAAGCTTATTTTCCAATTACCATAATATTTGAGCACAGTCTAAAAAGTTTTATACCAAGCAAGAGTTCACTGGTCAGTTTTTACAAAGTAATTAAATATCTGCAAAACAGAAAATTCACTCCATAAGAGCTTCAAAACCTTTTATTTTACAATTCAGCTGGTTTTGGAGAAAGAAGTAGTTGACTAAAACCTGAAAAAATGGTGAGGTGTTTTTGGTTGCCATTTTCCATATTATAAAACAGCTAAATGACTTAAATGTTCGTAATAAAAAGAATAAGTTTTCAGCAATGTTGTGTGTTTGTGTGTATGTTGCATATATATAGTTTTTATATCATGGCATTAACTAAAATGGAAGTATAACATTGATAAACTCTAAATTTTTTTAATTTATTGCTATCCGTATATAATAAAAGTTATTGTTCACTAAAGAACAAAAGCCACTGTTATATCATTACAAGAACTGCTAAATTCTACAAGGAACAACTTATTTAGTGAAAGAGTATGTAGAAAGTAGCCCCAAGGTATACATGGTCTAAGATATAAAGACTAAGAAAGTTAAGGGCTATGACAAATGGAAATAAATTCTTTATGCAAGTTTCAAACTAAGTGATATTATTTCAGGATTTCCCTCAAAATAAATGCTTTTTAATTTATAAAGTGGGACAGAATAATATACTGAATGAAGATTGCCTGTGGTGCGCTGGTTTTTTTGTTTTTATCCAGAGACATTTTTATTTGGGAAAAGGTACAACACTAGAATTCTTTGGTATTCTGTTCTTCCCTTCAAACTCTGATAGGGCACCTCAAATGTTCAAATTATATTGGGAGGTGCGGTAAAGAAGTTCTTTGATTTTACCCAACAATAACTCTAGGTCCAGTTTCAGGATGGTAGATGCCAAAGGAATATCAACATTCTTTTACTGGATTAGGATTCTGTTTTCATGAATGTCACTTGGAAGGAAAATGGGTCATCCCTTCATAATGCACTACTAGGATCCAGTGGATGTTCTATAAGATTTTGTGACTTTCAGATTATCATTGGAGCATTCTTGGAACAGCATTATTTTAAGATTTATAATCCTGTATACATATTTTTGTTCCATACATAATAAAGTTAAAAATGGAGACTTTATTCCATCCTCAGAAACACAGACATGAGTTTTATCCAAACTTTAATTTCCATTCATCACAAAAAATAACTCATGTTGTATTCTACTATCTTATAAATAGATAAACCTATTTACAAGTGATTAGATGGGCTTTACCCAAATTTGAAGAAACCTTTTATGACCACTCACAACCATTAGGGTTTGAATATTAGCTTTGACCTAAGCTAAGTATGGTTGAGAGTTAAAATGTCTTTCTCAGTTATAAAAATGTGCCTCGTTAAGCCTGGAAAATTACTGGTCTAAAATATCCATAATGGTCTATTCTTTCTAGGGTATGGGTTTTTTTTTTCCTATTTTATTCTCAGAAGTGTAAGGTGGCGTGGTGTATGGGATCACAAGCTGGCCTCAAAGCCAGGAAGACTGGGGTTCAAGGCCTGCCTCTGACACCTGCTAAATATGCAACCCTGGGCAATTTTATTTAACTTTTCAGTACTGTAAGCAACTCTCTCTTTTTAAAAAAAAAAATTATTTTCTCCCAGTAATATGTCAAAACTATTTTTAACATTCATTTGTTAAATTTTTGCATTCCAAATTCTCAGCCTCCTCTCTCCTCGATTGAGAAAGCAAGCAATTTGATATAGGTTATGCATGGTAGGCAACACTCTTTTGTTTTTGTGAGGCAATTGGGGTTAAGTGATTTGCCCAGGGCCACACAGCTATTAAGTATAAAGTATCTGAAGCTGGATTTGAACTCAGGTCCTCCTGACTCCGCGGCCAGTGCTGTATCCACTTCACCACTTAGCTGCCCTAGGCAACACTTAACGGCATAAATTACAGTAAAGGGGCTGACTTGAATTGGTAGTGGTAGTCCCCTAACCTGAGAGCTACCTAGACTAGTGAAATTACAGGTCCAGTCTTTACTCTCAGAAGTAAATCCATATTTATATTATTAATGGACCCCTGACAGAATATTGTCAAATTTCATCTAGTTTTTGAATGAATCTAAGTTTAAAAATGTATTTATACAAAGTCCATATTTTTTTTTTCTGAAGCAGTTTCCCTATTTAGCCTGTAAATGAGGTAGGGTGTAATAATGGGAAGAATGACTGGATCTGAGTGTTCCAAGGACCTGGGTTTGAATCCTGGTTGGGCTGCTTTATGCTGGGTGTGTGACCTTGGGCAATTATTGGACCTCTCTAGTCCCTAACTTTTTTTGGTACATCAACTTGTTTTTTAAAAAGTTTTATGACTTTCAACATAATTGATTTCCTTTGTATTCCTATGTGTTTTATTTTATTCACTCAATGACATTATTCTGAGAAGATATCCAGAGGTTTCAACAGACTGTCAGAAGGGGTCATGATACACCAAAGATTTACAATTCCTGTTATAAATGTTCTCCAACGTTTCTTCCATCTCTACCTCCTTTTGCAGGGCTATAAACGCATACGTATTATTATTCCATTTTGTCAGTATTACATTTCCTGCATCTGGGTGGCCTTTAATATTATTAGCTCATTAAAAAGCTGAGTTGTTGTTTTAAATCAGTAGACCTGATTTAGGCAACCTATGTCTTGAGTAGCAAGCAGTGAAGCAGATGGTGGTACACTTTTTACCATAAACACCTGTCTTTCCTCCTTTCCTCTAATGATAATCTCTTTATTTTCCTTCCTCCTTTTCCCTCAAAAAATGATGGCCAGTGGTATCCTTACACATATTGAGCATTGCTTAGACTCCATTACTAATGCCTCACATTTTGAAGTTTCTGATCTTGCCTTGGGTGACCGTACCATGATAGAGTTTGCTAGAGGACTCCAAAATTTAGCTTACGGAGAATTGAAATGGATAAGAATGACTAATCTATATAAACTGGTCTTATTGTTAAAAAAACTCTAATATTACACCATTAAACAGGAAGGAAAGGATGAGGTTGTCAGTATGTTTTTGTTAACCATGTAAGATATGCGTTTTATTAATATTTTTTAAATGTTTCAAAGTTACATAGTTTCAATATTTCATGATACATTTAGTGAGAGAGAACACTGGAAGACAAGCTCTTGGTGTAAATATTTTCCTATACTGCTTTTTGCTTTAATTTTTATATCCTACCTTGGCCTCCTTATGAGAGGTGGCCTGGTATAACAGCAGGAAACTAGGTGGCACAGTGTATAGAACACCAGAGTTTGAGTCACGAAGACCTGAGTTCCAATCCTGCCTCCTATACTTATTAGCCATGTGACCCTGGGCAAGTCACTTAATCTCTATCTTTGTTAGGTTCCTTATCTGTAAAATGTACCTACCTAGGAACTGTGAACATAAAATGAGATAATATTTGTAAAGTGCTTTGCAAACCTTTAAGTCTTATATCAATGCTAGCTATTATTATATCCCATTGCAACCTCACTATAAGAGATTGCCTAGTGTAAAAGAAAGTACTATATCTGAAATCAGAGGTGGGTGGGGGCCTTGGTTAAGTCTGAGTTCTATGACTAGTTACACCTATGTGACCTTGGGCCATGTGCCTTCATTTTCTAATCTGTAAAATGAGGGAACTGGTCCAAGTCCTATGATCCATAACCTTGTCCACTTAGTGCTTGACATGGGAACACCCTAGAAAGATGGAATTTGACTGTATCAGTAACTAAATTCCCTTGAATAGGATCTCAGGTGAGTGGAGCATTCCACAGTGAACGGATGTGGTAGTATGTTATTAGCATCAACTGATTTGTTTTTCAGAACAAATTGTGAATGTACAAGTTGGCTTAAGGCTTTAGCAATTCTTTCATAATAGAAAAAATTTTAAATGAAGCTTTAAGTTATTTTGAATTTAGAAAAGAAGTATTTTGTAATACTTGAACCTTTAATATTACTAGTATACAAATTGAAGGGCAATTTTGTTTAATGTTAGAAGTGTGTTTGTAAGGACACAATGGATTTTGTTTTTCTTGTGTTCTTAATTAGGGCTTCTGGGAGAAATAGTGCACATTCCTTGACGTTTTATGTATATTAGAGGCAAATGCTTTGTAGGAAACTAAGTCAGAGAAAATGTTGCTTTCACCTTACACTTTTCAGCAACAAAAGACAATACATAGATGTTTTCATTGCTGGCATCCATATTGCATAATCATACATTGACAGATGCTAGACAGCTCTTCCTGAGAAAATAAAGATCCATGAAAATATTCAGCGTCACACTTTTGTTGTGCAAATTTGATTTAAAACTTGGTTATTTAGAAAATAAAACATGAGCTTTGGTTTTGCAAAGACCATAGAAAATTTGCTTTTTTTTTTTTTAAAGAACCATGTGCTTTTATGGTTGTAGAAGGAAATACATTCAGGGGGTTCTGATAAATCCCCTTTTATAGTATCATTTACCACCCCTCTAGAGACATCCCTCTGTTTGTAAAGAATGCCTTTTGGTTAGCATTTTATTTGGTTTTTTTTGTTTTGTTTTGGATAGGCTATGAGGTTAAGTGACTTGCCCAGGGCCACACAGCTAGTAAGTGTTATGTGTCTGAGGCCTGAATCCAGGGCTGGTGCTCTATCCACTGAATGGTTAGCATTTTAAAGACTAACATTAATGCTTTTTTGTGGGGGAGGGGGCAGGGTAATTTGGGGTAAGTGACTTGTCCAGGGTCACACAGCTAGTAAGCGTCAAGTGTCTGAGGCCTGATTTGAACGCAGATCCTCCTTATTCCAGGGTCTGTGCTCTGCTTCAGGGTCTGCGCCACCTAGCTGCTCCAAAGACTAAAATTTAGAAAAGAGTATAAATTTACCTCATTTTTGAAGGTTGAATTAGTCCATTAGAATGCTATTTGTTATCAGTTTAGAAAGCCATTGGGACTTAAATGTAACCTTTTCTCAGCACTTAATCATTGACGATCATTTACTACCTCAGCTTACAGAATCAAGCTGACACTATTTCATAAGATTTGACTTCTAATCTAATAATTCTAATAAGAGATTCTTAAAGAAAGTTTCACATTTTGTTATAAGAAACATGGAGCCAAGGGTATACATGCCATTATAGTCACCCAAATGCCAGTACCCTGTGTTTCATTAGTGTTAGTGACTGACCTATTTTGGCAAATGAAAATAGGAGTAAGGAGAGAAGTATCAACAACCATGGCCTTTTAAATTAACTGAAGGAGAGAGCTAATCGATGAACATAATGTATTA